CTCTCTGCTGAATACTGATCTACAGGTAACATTTACAGCATGTGTGCAACTTGAGCAGTCAGATACCTTATGGGTGAGCGAGTGCTGACGTAGGTGGTGGAGTTGCACAAACTCCAGGCCGCACTGGGAGCAGGTGTAAGGCCTCGGGCTCTGGTGCTTCAGGAGGTGGTTCTGGAGCTGGCTACGGTAGGCGAAAGACTTATTACACTCGGTGCACTGGAAGGTGTGGGGGCCCTGGTGGCTGGTCTGGTGGCGTTTGAGGTGAGCATAGGTGGGGAACTCCATGCCACATTGCGAGCACACATGGCAGCGGCCTCGTTCGTGCTTCACCTCGTGCGCTCGCAGTTCGCTGGGATAGGCGAAGCCACGGCGGCAGAAGCGGCAGCTGTAGGGCTTTACATCGGTGTGTTGCAGCATGTGTCGCTTCAGGTGACTGGTCTGGGTGAAGCCCTTCTTGCAGACTGTGCACTTGTGAGGCCGCGTACCTTGGTGGGTTAGCAGATGGGTTTGGAGGTGACTGGGCTGCTTGAAAAGCTTTCCGCAATGTGGACAAGCATGCGGTTTGATGCCGTTGTGGCCCAGGATGTGTGTGACCAGGTTATACTTAGAGGTGTAGGATTTATCACACATGCGACATTTCCAGCGTTTCAAACCGTCTCCCACGTCTACGCAGTAGGATTCATCAATCTGGATGTTGATATCTAGCCGGTCTACTCTACGGCCACCGTGTCTACGTGGAGGCTGGGGGTGTGGAGGCTGGGGATGCTGCCCTGCCGCACTCCCGTCTGTCCACATCATACTCTGGCTGCTGTCTTCATACTCGCCCCCCATTCCCATCTCTGTAGAATCGTAGCTTCCCACTTCACTGGTCTGGAAGTAGCTGCTGATAGCTTCCTCCTGCTGTGTGGGTTTCATCATTGTGTTCCCCTGGTGTTCTACCTCTTCTTCATCCTCTCTACCACCTCGACCGTGGCCCCCCATCGGGCGCTGGCCCTGCAGTCCTCTGTGGCCCTGCTCCGGTCCCCTGTGGGCCACCTGGGGAGGAGGGGGGTGGACATGTGTGTTGGCTTGCTGCTGGTTTGTAGCATCCCGCTCACATTCTGCACAGTTCTTGTTGGTGCCTCTCAGGGTGGCCGGATCTACTTGAACCAGACCACCTCTGGGAGCCATATTGTTCAGCATGTGGACACAGGAGGACATTCCAGAGTTCATCCCTTCCCCTTTCACGTGGGAAGAGGACATGTCACCTGCTTGAAGGCCATGACGATCGGGGACCACCATTTTCCCATCTGGATGCTGAGGCGGCCCCTGCTGCCACCGCCGCTGGCTGCAGCTTGGTTGCATCTGACCGTCTTCTCCCAAGTTTTCTCCAAGATAATCTCCGTTGGCGCCGATAAGTTGGTCTGCGTACTCGTAGTCAACTCCGTCTACTGGGGGTGCAGGGGACTCTTTTGGTTCACCAGTGTAGAAGCCGTTTGGTGCAATGGTAGCTCCGAATACTTCATTCTGGGAGATGAGACCTAGCACGGCGGCCTGGGCCAAGGACAGCACAACTACTGGATCTGTCTGTGTGCCTATGTCCACCAGCCTGGCCATTACCTTGGGCTCACATCTACCCAGGCGCCGGCTCGCCTCCTCCTGGAACAGGAAAGAGACAAACCGTTTGTAAAGAGATCACCATTTTAATGTTTTTTATTGCCAAGTGTTATAGAGGGGAACAAAAATCAAGCTCAGTGTAAATTTTTATAAAGGCAGGAAGTTATGTTTTCAATGTGAACTACTGTGCACCATCCTCCACTCCATTAAAAATGAGCTACTGAAGAAAAAAAGGTGGTGAGACTCATCTGATCAGATTCTTTGAGCTAGTTGCTGACAGAGAGGGGGAAAAGTAAGAACAATTTTGATTTTCAGGAGCTGTTTATTACATCACTAGAAAGGATGCGCAAAAGCAGACAACATTTCCTCCCACTGAGGCAAATCTATCCCCAAATCACTCTTCCTAGTACAAATAGTCAACCTGAATGAACAGTGTCAAAAACAAACCTTCAGATCTGGAGAGACAGGAACTATGAAAGACAGCATCCTAATCCAACGTGCTAACCATGCATGATGTGTGTGTGTGTGTGTGTGTGTGTGAGTGAGTGGTGGTGGATTAGATGGCCTACTGATCTCCACACAAACACACATTCAAGTGCAAGAAAGAAAAAAGAAAAGAAAAGAATGAAAACTGAGCAAGATTAAGAAATGAAAAAAAAAAAGAATAGAAAAGCACGAGATAAGACAAAAACACTGGAGAGCAGAGTGAGAACAGAAGCAGAGACAGAGATGGAGGGAGGGAGGGAGAGAAGCAGGAAAAAGAGTGAGCGAGTGAGAGCTTAGAGCATGCAAGAGTCTAGTGAAAGGGAGGAGGGAGAGGAAAAAAAGAAAAAAAGGAGAAAATGTAAGGTAAAGGGAGAGTGAAGGAGAGATAAGGAGAAGGAGGGGGTGGGCAGGAGGGAAGGAGGAAGGCTGAGAGAGAGACACACATATAAGAGAGGGAGGGGGAGGAGGAGAGGGCTGAGTGAAAGAGTGAGAGGGTGAGTGTGAGGCAGCAGGCAAAAGAGAGCAAGAGGAAGAAAGAAAAAGAAAGACATGTAGAGACAGAGGGAAAGGGAGGGAGGGAGAGGCAGTGAGCAACCAGGAGACAGAAGGAGAAAGGAAAATGCCAAAATGAAAGCCAGACACTCAATGAAAGATAAAAACAAAAAGTGAAGAAGACAAAAAGATGACACCGAAGAAGAGTTTGGGAAAAAGATTTTTTTTTTTTTAAAAGCTCATAGAGAGATTGCGATAAGTTAATGCAAGTGGCAGCTCTTCATTTAGAATAAAAAAAGACTCCACAGAAAGCAACTTTACAAACAAAAGAAAACCAGATACAATCAAAGCATCTCTGATGGCAGTTTTCTATCTGTATCATTTCAGCTTTGCCGGGATCAAACCCACGTTGCCCACCACCTCAGCAAACTACCACTTAACATGCTACGAGCGAGAGCCAGTGAACTCACCACGCTCCTCCTGCTGTGAGGTTTCAGGTGCTTCAAGGATCTCATTCTTCAGTGCGAGTGTTGAGTGAGAATAGACTATGTTTGCCTCCTATTTATACGTGAGGGATGTGAGGAGGCGGGGCTAACGCTACCCTCCGCCTCCTTCTCTTTAGTCTTCAGCACAGTTTCGGTAGAGAGTCTGGTCGCACCAGCGCAAACACAGAGCAGACACTAAACAAACCAAATATCCTTGCAGCCAAATGAGCACGTGTGGCCAGTAGGTTTAAAAACACACGCATACACAGGCGCAGCACTGATGCACAAGGTTCCTTGACAGTCCAGTAATCAATAGGTTAAGTCACATCAAAGTCAAAAGACGCACACACCAACAACAAAAACAAGATCAGCATCATATCCGTCTGAAATTATGGCTCCACCAAAGCAACTCGCCCTCCTTTCTTCTTTCTTTGTGTGTCATTCTTCATCTTTGTTTCTGCACATCCCTGTCTGTCTCTTTTCCTGTATCTGCAGCTGAGTTCTTCTCTGTGTTTCATCCATGCATCCCTGCGCCTTCCCCTCTGTATCTTTTCACTCTCTCATTGATCAAGTGAGGTTTACGAGTATGGGAAAGTGTTGGAAGATTGTTTCGTGCACAGTCTCGGATGCGAGCGTGTTACATGAGAGAGGAGAAAGAAGAGAGACGGTGAGAGAAAGAAAGAGATGGAAGGTGACTGACAAGGAGATGAGCAAATGGATGGGGGGGCAGGAGGAGAGACTGAAACGAAAGAATACTCAAGGAAAAGAGAGGGGAGGGGGGAGACAGAAAGAGAGAGAGAAAAAGAAAGGAGACGGGGGGATGGGAGCAGAATGCGGTAAAAGAAAAAGAAGCAATGAAAAGTAAAAGAATAGCACGGAGATATTATTCTGCTTGAAATGATGCATCAAACAGTCCCATGGATCACACGCACATGCATACACACACACACACACAAAATGAGCTGCTGATTGACGCCTGAGGAAACGTCAAAGTTCAAGTGTGAAGAACTTTCATCTCTTTTCACGTCATCTGACGACCACGGCACCTTCAGTGAAATGGGATGCGTGGAGAGATCAGATAGATGTTGAGCGGCGAGACGGTGGCCTCACGGTCCACAATGGTCATGCATATCCTGCCAATGATGAAAGCGAGACAACGCGAAAGCTGCAAATTATGGAGCGAAATGAGAAAAAGGGCGACAGACATATAAAAACCTACATTCAGCATAGTGTCTTGTATGCACTTTGCAGGAAATACTTTGTACTGGTGTATTAGTCCACAAAGACTGAGGACTCAAAAAACTATTAGTGTTATTATCAACCAATCTGTTATTTTACTGATTCACATAAATAGTGGGCCTAAGGTACCAACCTCGCTGTTTTTGTCAATCAAACTCTGATCACAGACACAAACGGGTCTGTCAATCACTTAATCATTTTTCCAAGAATTTATTTAAATTTTAAAATATGCAAAAATCTCATGAGTGTGTCAGTGGATGCTGCCAAAAATAAATCAACAGATGACTGTAATTGTAGACACTGGAAGACATTATTAATGAGTGTTTGAGCCAAAGCAGTGTTTGCTCTAAAACATACTGTGGGTACACAACATTCATTTCCATAAAAAGTGACAATCTTTCCTTCAATCAGATCAATCGCACATCACCCCCCTGTCGCAGAACACGTCTACAGAGACTGAGTTCACTCCAAGTACAGCTACTGTGTTTTTTATGAAAACCTAAAGTGTTACCCCTTTTCATGCCTGTAGTTTAGCTTTGATAGAAATTCTGATGCCTGACCAATACTAGATTTTTTGGTTCAGATAATTATTGAACTATCCACCAATGCTATTTACAGCACAGATCCATCCTGCCCTGCATCAACAGTTCAGGCCAGGTGACGTGAAGGTGTGGGGGATATTTTTTGATACACTTTGGGCCCTTTATTACCAACGATCATCATTTAAACAGTATTAAAGAGTACTGTTACCATGCCCATCCCTTTGTGACCACCACACATCTTCTGATGGCTGTTTCCAGCAGGATAACATGACGTGTCACAAAGCTCAAATCATCTCAAAATATCTCAAACTTGTTTCTTGAATATGAGAATAAGTTCACTGTACTTAAACGGTCTCCACAGTTACCAGATCTCAATCCAACAGAGCACCTTTGGTATGTGGTGGAATGGGAGATTGCTGTCACGTATGTGCAGCAGACAAATCTGCAGCAATTAACACCATGATGTCAGTTTGGACCAAAACCTCTGAGGAATGTTTACAGCACCATGTTGAATTATAGCAGTTCTGACAGTAAAACCTGGTACTATCAAGCTGTACCTAATGAAGTGTCTGGCTAGTGTATATACTGCATAATAGGCCAATATCAGCTGATAATGTCAGGGGACCAAAATATCAGTCAGGATCTAATGAAGACGCAAATATGCAAAGTTGAGAAAAAAAAAACATATTAGGTTTGATTAATTTATTAACTGATTAGGCAATCAAGACAATATTAATCAGAAACAAGACTACATCCAAAATGTTCCTGATAAAAATCAGCATATTTTGGTTCCCTGCAAAATGTCACCTTGGACTCTAAAGGAACTGGGAACAAATCTTCCCACAATTTTCTGTAAATTAACAAATTTAACACTTCTGTGATTACTCAAGAACATAAAAGGTCCACAAGAAATAGTTACAGACGATCCATCATTTCCCATATTTTTGTTTCCCTTATCCCTTGTTTAAGTAAACTGCAAAAGGTATATTGTGTGGATATGCTTCAAGTATGTCTTTTTTATATGCTACCATAATAAGCTGATTTCATATTATTCATTCCCTGCCTTAAGTTCAATTTATGTTTTAGAATAATCTTCAATGAGCAAGTATTATGGTGCCTCTACTTTGAGCCTCACTGATTTTCATGCTTTTATTTACCAAATAAAACTTTCCAAAAATAGTTAACTTTCCCTTTGGTCACGCTACAGCACACTTCCTGTCAGTCACGCAAGTCAAGCAGAGAGGATCATGGCATATAGTCTAGTCTTTATGTAACATTTTGCATACTTTTTCCACAGTAAGAATTAATGCAAGATTGTGTTGCTCATTTAAACTTAAACAAAACCATCAGTTACTTTAAAATTACTTGACTTTGGCTTTACATATGCAAAGAAAAGTATTAGCGATACATATTTGTCTATGAAGAACAAACTAAATGGATGATTTCTGAATGCAGTTTTACAAAATGCAGAGGGGTGTGACTTCTGCTTCAGCTAGAACTCCTACTCTCTTGGGCCCTGTTCACAGTTCAAGCATTTAAAAGCAAGATGGTCAGAGGCAGGGAGACATGCTTAAGGAGAAATTGTGACCTGAAATAATAAGAAACCAAACCGTGAAGCCAAATAAACTTACAAATGAAAAAGGATGCAGTACATATACAACACAAAGGTATGTAGATTTGGAAATGCCAAAACACTTGGGAAAGAGTTGCAGAGTCTGCATCTTCCAACCTCTTGTGCAAGCTGTATTCTCAAGAACGAATGAACACTTTTTTTTCCTGTTCAGCAACAGTCGCAGCTTCCTAAAGATAAAATCAAACGGCAGCAGGAAGTGAAATTTGACCAAACGTGGCTTCTCCCATGTATCCTGCCAGGTGTCTGTCTCAAATGCATCCAGACTTGATGTGGATCTGGCTATATTCACATAAAAGACACAAAGGTGGGACAGAGCCAAACATGGACTGGACAGATCTCCCTGCCTTTGACCTACAGAGCCTGTCAGAGAGCCACTGAAGAGCCATGGCTATATTTGCTAGCAGTGATCTCAACTCCACATTGCTGCTGCAAATCTGTGGATCCACAAGTTTGCATTTTAAGAATTTTAATGCATCTTACCTGCGATGATATGATACTTTGGCAAATGTACTTATAACAGTGCTGTCAAATCAGTTAATACTGGTAGCTACACTAGCTACAGCTGTGTTCTTACTAAAGCAATGTGTATTTAAACCAATACCTTTCCTACCGTAAAAACGAATAGTGATTTTCATTAATTTTTTGACAATCTCATTAATTTAAAAAAACAAACAAAACAAAAACAGAGAGAGAGAACCAAAGATCCAGTAAGAAGGAAACTGATATAATAATAATAATGTGTATGTGTTAGCCCCCATAGGGAAATAGTTCCTCTGCATTTAACCCATTCACCCAGTGAAGCAGTTGTTGACCGATTTGAGCCACGAGCTGTAAAGTCATAGCAGATTTTAAAACTTAAATTAACATGCTCATCATCTGACTCCAACAACCTTAATAACTATAGGGCCATTTCCAGCCTTTCATCCATTTCCTGAGTTTTGGAAAGCATAGAGGCATCACATCTTCAGACCCACCCAAGCCATTTCAATTCCATTCTAGACATATTTGGAGCAGCTTGTTAAAATCACCACTGATCTCCTCACACTAGAAACCTGCTTTCTTAATACCCTCCTCCTCTTTGACCTCAGTGCCACTTTTTACATTCCGCATTCCAATATTGGCCAACAACTGGTCAATATTGGAATCAAGGAGACTTTCTGACATAAATGATTTTTTCAAGGCAAGACTTACAAAAACAAATAAGGCTTTTCATCAGCCTCTGTCACACATGGTATCCCTCAGGTATCTTTCTGTGCAAATTATGAATTTATCTTCTTTATCTTGAAAATATTTTTCCCCCATCTCACAAAACAGTTTAATTTTTATGCTGACGACAAACAGCTTTGTATTTCTGCAAAACCCAACACCTCTCTTCCCCCTTCTATCCTCGCCATGACCTACAGGCCATCACCACTGGGAAAATAATCAATCAGCTCAAACTAGACATCAGTAAACGTGAAATGATCCTAAATCAAAAGTCTATTTTTTGTTGTTTCTATAGGTGGTTCTTAAGTCCACACTTTTGCAAAAAGTGTCAAAAGTCTTGGAATAATCTTGGGCAATACTCTTCCTCTCAGGTTCAGCCTTTTCCCTCTCCAATAATGTCTCAGGTTCAGCCTTTTCCCTCTCCAATAATGTCTCAGGTTCAGCCTTCTTCCACCTATGTAACATTTCGAAACTACACTTGTTTCTTTCTCAACTCAGCACACAAGTTCTGGTTCACGCCCTGGTCACCTTTCATTTGGATTATTCCCTCTATGCCATTCTCTCTGGGCTCCCCAAAGAATTGCTTAATTGGTTCCAAATGGTACATAACTCTGCAGCAAGAATCATCAACTGCACCAAGTCCACCGATCACATTACACATAATCTCACCCAGCTTCATTGGCTCCCCATTCGCCAATGCATCCAATACAGATTCTTCTCCTCACTTTCAAAGTGCTTAATGACTTGACAACCCCAGTGTCTCTCAGACCTTCTTCATCCTCACACTCCTTCATATACTCAGCTCAGCCACTCTACCGACTGTTCCATGTATCAGACTTAACACCACGGGTGCCAGAAGCTGAGGTTCGCCTCGTCTTTGGAACACAGCATCGCTTCACCTCTATCAGCTGGACTCTGACAGTTTCAATCACAGAACACTTACCTGTTCAGATCAGCATATCAACTATAATCATGTTTGTTTGTTTTTTAATATGTTTTACATTCAGGATTTTAAATTTCTCCTAATATTACTTTTGTTGTTAATTTCATGCTGTAAGATGACCTTGAGTGTATTGAAAAGTGCCAAAATAAAATTATTGTTACCACTACTACGTGTACTGTCTGAGAGGTTATGTAAACAGGATTATTGTTTGAACATTTGTTTTTAATGTGCTTTCTAACAGGTTTTATTCTGATGATTTAGCCAGGTCAGAATAATACTCCTCCTCTAAACTTTGACAAACACTACATGTCGTTCATGTACAAAAAAAGAACTGGTGCAGACTAAAATAGCTTCTACGTACTCAAATATATCCTCCTCCTATATAAACAAAAACAGATCAGTTGTCCCATAAAACCACAGCAAACCATCAATGGCTGCAGCTCCCAGCTGTGCTGAAGGAGCACATCATCTCATGAGGCCACCCTAAACATGATAGGTGAGGAAAGCACCTGGCTAATGTAGTTTATGTTCCATTGAGGACGATGACTGGCAGTTGGGGTTGTTTTGGAGTCTAGCAAGTAAGCCACTTGTTGAATGCTACCGAAGAGAAGCAACCACTACCGTGTTTGGGGTAAAAATGGTAGATTCGGGCCAGGTCATTACAGGAACTACGCAAAGAGGAGTACGGTAAATGGCACCACAGATGGATGAGTGAAATAAGAAGATAATGTGCAAAATGTATGTGACTGGGAAGGAGAGTATTGTGTTCAAGGTGTAGGTTTTATTCTAGAAATATAATTGTTCCCCTGCCTAATGGGTTCGTTTTTCTGTGATAGAAAAAAAATGTTTTTTTTATAAAGTTTGTATCATAAATGTCATGGAAGTGTGGTAAACAACAAAAGAGAAAGAACATGGAGGAAAAAGAGAGAGGGAGAGAGGGAAATGGCAGAGGACAAAATGGGGGCGTAATAGAGGAAGCAGAGAGAGAAAGAAAGAACAGATGATTGCATGGAATGAAAGAGGGATTGAAGGGGGAGGGAGGGGAGGAGATAAAGAGAACAGGGATGGGAGGGGGAGTGAGTGAGTGAGTGAGTGAAATGGTGGAGTGAGAGAGGGGAGAGAGAGAAAATGAGAGGCACCAGTGGGGGAGGGGAGGATGTAGAGGGAGAGGAAGAGAGGCAAGAGAAAGAGAGGGAGAGACAGAAGAGCGAGACAGAGAAAAGATAGCGAGGGGGGGGGGGAGAGGGAGGGGCAGTGTGCAACGTGAGAGAGGAAGAGAGAAAGAAAGAGAGGCAAAAAGGAGAGGGAGGGGTAAAGTATGATGGAAACCCAGAG